GTCTCTGCACATCTCTCAGAAAGAAGATCTTTGTCTTTAAGTGCCATAGTAATTTGTTGCATTGTCATAATCTGTTTCTTCTTACGTCTTACTTTTTGCTGACTTAATTTCAACTTTCTCTGGACAGATTCTACTTTTTCAATTGCATCAGCAAGTTTGCGTTTAAGTTTCCGCGGTGATTCCAAAACGCAATAGTTGTGGTCTTCTCCGGGGTGAACCTTAGATGGCGGAAGTTGATTGGCATTAAATTCTAATGTCACATCTGAGGAAGTCCTGGTCTTTGGTGCTTTTCTTTGTGACTTTATTTCCTAAAAACAAAACAATAAAAAAACAATTCAGATTAATAATTTTTTACATCCATGCTCTATACTCATTAATCATAATATATGTCATAGACCTTCTGCTTTTTGGAAGATCTACAGTTCATACTGTGTGCAGTAATAGCAGATTCAAATTTAAATATTTTTTTCCCTTAAAAATATCATTGCTTAGTTTTGTATTGTTTAGCTTTTTAGTGTTGTACAAATTTAACTTGTACAGTACAATGCTTTCTTTATTATGCATAGCATATGCTGGTATAGAATGGAAAGCCACTACTAGCTGGGTAATCTGATTTAGGTTTATTTGTCAGTGCTAAGTTGTAAATGAGTTCTTGTCATTATTTTATCCAATTAAGTATTAATTAATTATGAAAATGTGTTTTGTTTAAAAACTAACTGTATATTAATTTAAACAAGTAAACGTGCCAACCTTTTGCAAATGCTTTGGGAAAGTAAACTTTGTTGGCACGGCCAGCGGCTGGAGTGTTGTTTTTTCTCCAAACCTGTAGAAACAGTCTTCGTCAAAATGGGCCGAACATAAAATAGCTCTTGGTGAAGGTGTGAATTTGTCTCTTCTGATGTTTTGAAGCCATTTCTTCAGAAGTTCCTGGTTCTTCAATGGGAATCTATAAAAGTTATAATAAGAGACATACAATCATACAATAATGCATTTAATCATTTTTAAGACATTTTTTCTTTTCACTACTTGTGCATTTGTTTGTCTATTCTTCTTTTAATCATGATAAGCAAAACATTAGCGAGCATATATATTGATATGTATTGTTTATTTTATACTAGTACTGTTGACTGTAGGCTTACTAGTAGTAGTACTACTACTAGTACTACTTTGCCAATAAAAACTAAAATAATAATTTATAATAGCCTACTTTTACTAAGTACTACATCGGCCTACAAGTTCTACTATCACTTTACTTTGTTCTGTACTATCATAATAAAGACTAATAATACTATAATTTTAATAGTTTTATTAATAGTAATAGCCTAATATAATATTAATTAACTCAGACTCGACGTCTAGTCAAAAAGCGCTCGATAATGGATCATGATTTATCATGCATGATAAGTTAACAAATTCAGCTGGATCTTGAAAATTAAATCCTATTCAAGCTAAATTAAATGAAACACAAACTATCAACATACCGGTGAAAAGTGATTCCTTGCTCTCTGGATTGTTTTGAATCTTTTGTGGCAAAATTATATGCAGCACAGCAAGGCATTTTATTATGATTTTCTTCTTCTTCTGCAGACAGGAACTAAGATGAGAGGTGCGTACGCAAGGGCATTCACTCGATGTGCTAGCTTCACACTTTCCTTCTTTGCGCATGACTAGCGCGCACTCTATATATTTATAGCTCTGTGGTC